CCCTGTTGCTTCTTGGCCCTCCAAGGCTTGGGGGCTCTTCCACCCAGAGGCAGGATTCAGTGTTTACCTTTGCCAGTCTTCACAGTTTCTTGCAACCCATTTCTCCAGCCTGGTGCGGTCCCCCGTGCACTAGCATCACCTCAACAGCCTACACTCTCCTGCTGAGGCTGAAGCAGATAACAGCTATCAGCGAAGCACCATGAATGCAATTTTGAATTTTGAAGATCTGAAGTGAGAAATGAGGAGGGTGGAGGTTTTTTCGAAAGGGCGAGAAGCCGCTGTGCTGGTCTCCAGTGGTTATTGATAGGCAGGCAAGGGGAAGGCTTTGCTTTGCAGCATCCCACAAGGCCAGGATTGCCCCCACCAGGTCTCTTGCTTGCTCTTGTGCTGAGCGCAGCCATGGGGCAGGCTGGAGAAGAGCCTGGAGCTTCTAAATTTGAAGTTGCAAATAAAGGATTGAATGTCCTTACCTGCCAGCTTTTCTGCAAAGCTCTGGTGGTGGATAACCCACCTCTGTCCTGCTCCGAGCATTGCCTGCGGCATGGAGACCACCTAGGAGAACATGTTGCTCCCTTCACTGGGAGGCTTTCTCCTCCCAGTGCCCATTGGCGCTGAGAAATGCTCACGGTCTGCCAGCTGAGCGGGAGAGAGCCCGTACGGTCACCAACTTGGGCTTGGTTTGATGTCCCCACTTGCTCACATCTCCTTGCCACCTGCGAGCTTGGGGATGTTTGGCTTATAGGCTCAGTCACCGGGCTGGTGGAACCCTTGGGAGACCGAGGGTCGTCTGGTGGCAGGGACATCCCTTTCCATGGGTGGGCCATGGCCAAAGCCGGGTTTGGTGTGGCAGCTCATCCTTGTCTCGGGGGAGCGGGGCGAGGGGCTCCAGCTGCGCGGTGGAGCGGCAGTTCCGGCTGTTACGGGCGGCACGGCGCTGGCAGCGCGGCGAGGTGTTTGCCAACCGGCAGGAAGGCGCAGGGGGTTAGCGGAAGGGAAATGAAGACACCACCATTGCCGCCGGAGAAGCTGCAAACCCTGGGGGAGCCTCTGAAAGAGCCAAGGGAGCAGCTGGCGAGGGGGCCCAGCGACATGAACCGCCTGCTCCGGAGTGGGGTCCTGCTGCTCCTGCTGTTGCGCGGTGAGTTGTGGAGCGGTGGCACCAGCCGTGCTCCGTCCGGGCAGCTCTCACATCCCTCAGGGGATGGGTCGGCTCATGGGCTGCTGGCAGCAAGAGGAGGACAGGGCCAGGGCGAGGGTCACAGTTCCTGGGATGCACAGAGAGCTGGGGAAGGAAAGACGGGAGCGGAGGGCTTCTCCAGCCACTTGATTTTCCAAAAAATCAAGTTTGGACATTCAAGCCAACCTGTGGTCGGGATTGACCCGGCTTAACAAAATGGGTGAAGAAACCTCTGCTTCTGCCCTGGCGAACGTGGTACTTGCCAGTTCCCCGGCTTTCCCTTCAGGAAGGCAATAAAGAGGGATCTCTACCCCCACTCCACCCTGTGTCTGATCCTGAATGTTTTTTTTCTTCTCCTTTTTCTCATACCCTCTTCTTCCAGGTGCTGCCAGTGAGCGGGAGAGCTATGATGGTGAGTGGCTTCTGCGCCCCTGTGTCTGAGCCCGGGGGTAGCCCTGACCCTGTAGCAGGGGCGAAGGTGCCCTCTCCTGCCCTGCTGCCGGGGGTACTGCTGGGGCCACGGTGGAGGCCGCCACTTCATGGTGGTGAAGGGTGACAGGAGCAGAGTTCTCTCCATGCTCCTCTCATGTGGCATCCTGCATGTTCCCTGCGTCCCAGCAAGGCCAGGTGCCCTCCAAGAATAACTGAGTTTCCCTCCTCTGCCAGCCTTGAGAAGGGGGGACAACAGCCTCGACTGCTGTAACACCACCATCAACCCAGAGGACGAAGGCAGGGTGACCGTGACGCTGGCTGCCCGCTGCAAGGAGCTGCAGCAGGCCAGCAGCCCGGCGTGCCGCTGCCTGCGGGAGAAGGTGCAGAGGGACTGCCTGCGGGAGAAGGTGCACAGGTAGGTGAACCCATGGTGGCAGGAGGGGATGGGCTCTGCGGATGTGGAGGCCACTCTTGCTGTTCTAGCAGGACATACAGAGCCAGCCCAGAGCACCCCGTGGGCAGGAGCCCATCTGCTCGCTCTGGAGTGTGTCCCCTCTGTCCCAGGAGCAAGGGGTCCAGCCCGCAGCCCTGTCCCACCAGCAGTGGTGCAGGAAGGAGGGAGGCAATCCCATGCTAGCTTGGGGCTAGGGTAGGCTTGAGCCCTCTGGGAAGGGTTGATTTGACCCTCCAACCCTCTGACCTCAGCCCGGTATGCCAGGGCCACTGCGTCCCCATTGCTGTCCCCTCTGATACGTCTCTTGGCACCACAGGTTTTTGCAGTCTGCATGCTTCGCCAGTGGCGAGAAGATAGCAGGGGTGAAAGTGCTACTGGTGAACATCAGCAGAGCCGTACCCCACGATGTTGTCTTCTCCTTCTCCCACTCGGAGGTGAGAAATGCTCATCTTTCCTTTCTGAACAAGCATTAATGAGGCAAATTTGAGTCTAGAGCAGTACTGACAGGTCCCAAGAAGAGAAATGACAGGGACAAGTAGGATGCGGCCAGCAAACAACCTCCCACAGTTGTTCCTTGGTGCAGGGCCCCAAGAGAATAAACTCAACAGAGACGGGGAACACAAGCAAAATCCGACTTCCCAGGGAGCTATTTCAGTCCATGAGCAGCCAGGAAGTGAATGTGGTGGTGACGGTGCTCGACATCACGCAACTTGCCGTGTTCAAGGTAAGAGCTGTTGTTCCTGCTGGCCTTGCTCCTGCCCTTGGCTGTCCCAGGCACTAACATAAAAGGTTACCTGCAGCAGCCAGCAATGAGGACATGGGTCTGGCCTTTGTGGGCACCTCCTGTGAGCCCTGGCAGGAGTGTCCTTGGCTCTTGCCTGGCTTGGCAGGTGCTGGAGGACCTCTCCTGCCCAGGCACACCAGGGCCAGCCTGGCTATTGCTGGGAGGGGAGTGTAGGCTCCAGGCAGGGTGAGAAGAGCCGGGGCAGAGCAGCTCATGCAACACTCCCCGCACTGAGTAGGAGACCAAACAGACACGGCACATCCTGGACAACACAGTTGTGGGCATCACAGTGGGAGACATGAAGATCACTGGGCTCCAGGACCCTGTGCAGCTCACCTTCACCCATGGGCAGCTGCCCCATGTAAGCCAGCCATTCCCTCCCTCCCTCTGCCCCAGTGCTGCTGCTTTCCACCGCACCAAGGCCTCCCACATCACAGCCACTCTCTCCCATTGCAGAGCATGAACCCCCAGTGTGTCTTCTGGGATCCTGGCAAAGGTAACAGCCTCAGTGGGACGGGGCTCCAGAACCCACAGTGCCAAAGCCCGTGGAGGGGAGGAGGAAAGGCTGCTGGGGAAAAGCCATCAAAACTTCACACTGAAAGACTCTAATGAGTGCAGAAATCCTCTGGCTTAGGGATGTGGATGGGTCTTCTGCCCTGCCACAGCCTCACCCTCCATGGAGCTTGGGAACAGCTGAGATCTGGCTGAAACCTGGGTATCATCTGTGGGATTTTGTGTGTGTTGTGACTGTGCTCTGTAACTCAGAGAGATGGCTCCAGTACAGAGGGTTTAGATGAGGAAGAGCTGCTAAACAGCAGATATCTATGCAGACAGAACAAGGTGGATCCCCAAAGGTCCTTTTAACCTCTTGACGTCACTTGCATGTCCAGGTGCCTAAATAAGAGAGCACTTCTCTGACTCTATCACCCTTTACTCACTGCTGGCCAGGAGGATGCCATGCTGTGGTCATGACTGCTTCATGGGCAGACAACCACTCCCCAGGTGTGCACTATGCCCTTTGCAAGCCAAGGCAAACACAGCCTCCATCATCCTGCCATCTCCTTACTCCCCAAGAGGCTGTTTTATCTTCTCAGCTATGGTGTGAGGTCTCTGGTGGCCTCACAAGGATGAGCTCGTTGAGAGGGTTTTTTTTTTTTTTTCCGTCATGCTCACTGCTTTCCTCACATATCATTTGCAGGCCAAGGAGGCTGGAACACCAGTGGTTGTGTCACTGAGCTTGGAGACAAGGGGACAATTTGCTCCTGTAACCATCTGACCTTCTTCACCCTCCTTCTGGTGACAACTTCATTCTATACAGCTCCTGCTTTTACCCTGCTGGTTGCTGCCTGCTTCCCCTTGACTGTTTGGTGCCTGAAGTGTCGTAGATAGCTGCACTTCCAGGGACGGGCAATTGTATCTTCTCCCCAGACGAGCCCAAGCCTCACCTCTTTGCAAGCCACTGTCCTAAAATCAAATTCAAAGCCAGCCTAGTGACCTGGAGGAATAGGTTAATAGAAGTTGTAAGGGATGGGAACGGTCTACTGCAACGGTCTACTGCCTGGGTGCCTTTGCTCAAAGCAGTGAGATGTAAGGATCCGTTCTCCAGCTGAAGCTTTAGAGACTGCTTGTGATCCATCATCCTTAATTCATCTCTCGCCCCCACCCCATACAGAGGTTGGGTTTTCCACTATGCTCCCTGCTCCCCAACAAGACCTTCTTGGGGACAGTGGTCCCGCTGCTCTAACTTGTAGAGATGTCACTGCACTGCTAACTTCTCTCTGTTTCAGTTCCCTGTCAGGTCTCTGCCCCATAGCTCTAGCAGATGCAGGTGGGATTTCTACACTGGTTCTGGACCTGTCTAACTCAATGTATGTGTGTGCTTGGCAGAGTCCGACTCTGGACAGGTCCACAGCACAGGCCTTGAAGGTTATTGCAAATGTTGGCTGTGGGTTAGCTGTGGCTTTCTCAGTCTTCTCCATTGTCTTCTACGTCTTCTTAAGGTAGGATGTGCTTAGCTGCACCCTCGGGCTCCACAGAGACTTGTCAGGCTCAGGGACGAGAGAGATGTGGGACCTGGTGCACCCAGACCTAGTGCCTCTGCATACCTAGATTCCACATGCTCCTGGGCTTGCTGGGACGTACTTATCCTCCAGGGACAGGGGTGATTCTTCAGGGAGGTGGAACTGGGTGCTCAAAGAGCAATACTGCCATGTGGTTGCCATCCAGGGCAAGGATCTCCCCTCTCTCCTTCCATCAGAGTTTCCTGGTGTGACTCCCCTCTTGCCATAGCACATCCTGCCCCCGTTCCAGACCCAAACTCAAGCTCTCTTCTCTCCTTCATGCTCACCATCAGTGTATTCTGCCTTTTCTGCTCCCTCTGGTGTCTTTCAGGTGTACGTACAAAAAGTTCAAGTCTGAAGAAACCATCCAGATCAACTTGGCACTGCACATGAACCTCATCAGCAGCCTATTCCTTCTCAATCTGACCTTCCTGTTCAACAACTGGATCTCTGGCAGGAGCCAGCCAGGACTTTGCAAAAGCCTGGGGGGCCTCATCCACTACTGCCTGCTCTGCTGCTTCACCTGGATGGCTCTGGAAGGCTGTCATCTCTACCTCCTCTTTGTCAAAGTGCTTGGCACCTATATCCGCCACTACCTGCTGAAGCTGTGCATCATTGGCTGGGGTAAGCACCATCTGTCCTGGGTCATCTGAAGCGAATGGCTGGGCCCAGATAAGACCTGTGGGGGTGTACGGCAGTGCCACTGCTTGAAGTGTGCTCAGTGCCGGTGCCTTTGCTCCTGCTCCTTCCCTTAGCTCTCCTCTCGCTGCTGGGTTACTGCGGCCTTTGGTCTCCTTCCTCCTGGTGAGTGGTGCAAGGAAGCTGTTCTCAGAGGACATGTGGGATCAGAGAGGACTCTCTGCAGTCCAGGAGGGATTTGTTTGGGCATGGGGTACCATATCCTAGGGAAAGGAGTCCTGTCGCTCCCACGGCTGCCTTCACTTGTGACTTCTACCCTGAGCTGGAGATTCCTTGGGGAGGGTCCTTGCTCTTCGAATGAGTTAAAAGGGGGTAACTAGGTCTATATAGTGAGAGAGAAAATGCTCCATCCCTCCTGTAGCTCTGAAATGCTCTGATTGGAGCTAGGAAGTCATATATGAGCTCAGTGCTGCAAATGACACTGCCCAGGGGGGATTTGGGATGGCTCCTACAGAGGATGTTCCATCTTGCTGAGGACCAAAGTTACCTACCTTCTTAAGCAGCTGAATTCCTTGGAGAATCCTCAAATTCCTTGGAGAATCCTCTGGGATTTTCATTACTTCCCTATGTCAGAAACCCCTTTTCCCCAGCCCACACCTGTGCAGGAACCATTGGGCATCAACAAATGATCCTGAAGAAAGTTTGGTGGACAGTGCCCACAGCTCAAGCCCTCCTACCAAAAGCTATTGCATCCTCTGCACATCATGTCTAAGCACCAGCTGTTGTGCTCCCTGCAACTCGTGAGCTCTGCGGCTCTCTCTAAACCCCATCTTCCTAGAGAACAGCACATTGAAAGAACCCAATGTGACAATCTCAGCTTTCTCGTGGATATCTGCCCCTCTTTGCTCCTGTCTCCTTTGTTTTCTCAGGTCTCCCTGCTCTCGTGGTCACTGTAACAGGAAGCATTGGCAGCTATGGAGAATACAACATTCAGAATATGGATCACCAGCCCATACTCTCCTTGTGAGTGACACTATCTTTCGTAACTGCCCACAGAGACTAGATGGCTGTTTGGCATGTGGGCTCCATAACCACAGAGCTTCATGTCTATATTGCTCAGTTTTACGCAACACTTCCTCTTCCCTAATTCAGATTAAAAATGCAAGCGGCTTGCTATAGCCATGCTACCAAGCATTACTAGTTCGTGCAGGATCTCCACGGTGCAGGGCTGCTTGCACACCATGGTAGGACATTCAGCAGGGAAGGGAACTTTACACAGGCAGGACCTGCTCAGTCATCACACCCAGCCTCATCTGTCATGCCCACATGCACTTAGGTCACAGAAAACATCCAGTTAGATTTTCCTTGTGCACTCCTTCAGCTGAAGAACACAAGAAAAGTAGCTTTGCATTCCTACCTTTTCATTCTGGGCTTGGAAAAAATCTGCCATGAGGGTATTTCCTTCATTCCTGTTGCAATGGGGAAACTATTGCATCCCAAAACTTATCCTCCTGAGGAGACAGTGGGAAGGGGCTCCATGGATGCTGCTCTCGCAGTCTGGAGGAACAGAGCAATTAGAGGCATTGATGTTGTTTCTTCTCAGGTGCTGGATCAAATCTGAGCATATCACAGTCCACTACATCACAAATTGTGGCTACTTTGGCCTCATCTTCCTCTTCAACACAGTGATCTTTGGGGTGGTGGCCTGGAAGAACTACCGCCTGCAGAGCACCAGGGCTGCAAAGGAGAACAGGAAGTCCTGGAAAGTGGGCCTGGTGGCACTGGGACTCTTCTGCTTGCTGGGAGCCACCTGGGCTTTGGCATTCCTCACCTATGGCAACGCTTCCGTGCCCATGCTCTACCTCTTTGCCATCCTGAACTCCCTCCAAGGTCAGGTGCCAGCCTGAAGCTCAGGAGCACATTGGCAGCACGGGGTCCTCAAGGGTTGGGCTGTGAAGATGGGGAGAGGCAGTGGGCTAAGGCAGCACCCCAGCACCAAGATGCCCCTTCCCTTTAACAAGTGGAGTGACTCAGTCAAGCGACAGGTCCCAGCAATCAGCGCTGAGCCTTGGGCTGGCGCTAAAGGCACTTGGAGGAAGGAGGCAGTTGGAATAACACAGTCATAGCTCCCAGCCCACATCCACTCTTCACCTGGAAGCATTTCCTCCAAGGAGTCCATTCTTTAATAGAGGCACAACATGATTCCTCTGGGCAAGTCCCAGATGACTTTGTCACCTTAAACATGGGGAGTTCTT